TTCACACAGTGACAGATATCTGCAGTGTTATCTCATTCACACAGATAGCTGCAGTGTTATCTCATTCACACAGATAGCTGCAGTGTTATCTCATTCACACAGATAGCTGCAGTGTTATCTCATTCACACAGATATCTGCAGTGTTATCTCATTCACACAGATAGCTGCAGTGTTATCTCATTCACACAGATATCTGCAGTGTTATCTCATTCACATGAACAGTCGTTCCTTACTGCTGCTGCTTACCAGCAAACGTGGCTGCGGACTGCTGGAGAGACTGCAGCACCCCGCGCGTCGTCTTGTACTTCTTACAGACCTCGCCGAACGGAATCTCATTGATGAGGTCATGTAGCACGAGCGCACCATAGAAACGCTTGTGTATGGCCATCAGGTTGGCTTGTTTATCACTCCTCCCGGCGAACCTGCCCCTGTACAATGTAGAAACGAGTGTGTATGGCCATCAGGTTGGTTTGTTTCTCACTCCTTCTGGCAAATCTGCCCCTGTACAACGTAGAAACACTTATGTGTGGCCAACAGACTAGGTTGTTTCTTATTCCTACCAGCAAATCTGCCCCTGTACAAAATAGAACCACATGTGTGGCCAACAGACTAGCTTGTTTCTTATTCCTACCAGTGAATCTGCCCCTCATGTCGTCGCCGGCGTGTGAGGGAGGCTTCCAGCAGACGCCCAGCAGTCCGACGTCCTCGCTGAGCAGCTGCTGGGCCTCGGCGATGATGGCCAGCGCCGCCTCATGCTCCGTGAGACCCTTCTGACCAGTCACCCAGATGCAGCGACTCTGCTTCCTATCGGCAACGTCAAACTCCGTCTCGCCCTCGACCTTCTTATCGCTGCAACGGATACAAACTCATAGTTGAACAAGAGCAATCGGAGATAGCAAACCTCTGCCACAGCGTAACAGTCCCCCCATCTTGCTGGTACACCCAATATAGAGTTTGATGACATTTTCAGAAATTTGGAGAAAAAAAACAAAAGATCCAGGATTTTTTTTAAATGAATTTTGAATGCGTCCGAAGTCTAAAAAATCTAAGCGATTGGTTGTTGGCCCAAGACCAACCAGTCCTAAAAAATCCATTAAAATCTGTCTGTAACTTTTTGAGATATCCTGTTGACAGACAAAACAAACGAACAAACTAACAGGGGTGAAAACATAACCTCATTGGTGGAGGTAATAATCTATTATATCTGATAGATGATATCACGCACGTACTTGCCAGCGAATTAGCCTCACTCCGTGAGCCTGACACACCTCTATATATAGCACACTTATCCATAAAGGACACATTTACCGGTTCCCTTATACACTAGAGTGGCTGCTATACACAGGTGTGCACGCACGAACCACAGTTCCTTTGAGTGACCTTTACCATGGCTTCCTCAACTGACCTTTACATGCAGTTTTTGCACGCATGAATAACGGTTCCCTCAAGCGACCCTTATACGCAGGTTTCGAATCACGGTTCCCACAAGCGACCCTTATACGCAGGTTTCGAATCACGGCTCCCTCGAGCGACCCCCTTACACGCAGGTTTCGAGCCCACCTCTCGAACGGCGCTGAGTTTCGCAGCATGTTTTCGACGGCGGCGGGCGTGGCGGCGGCTAAGGAGGCCACCGTGCGGAATCCTCCGTCGTAGAGCATGCGCGCTCGCTGTCCGTTGAGCATCTGCAGTCGCACGAGCTCGCAGAGCTCTCGCTGCACACCGAACGTCAGCCGGCTCTGGAACTTGTCGAGGAGCATCTCCATGTTGTGCCAGCCGAGCCGGTTACAGAACGCCGTCACCATGCCTGGAACACACGGTAGTACATATATAAGTATAATGTATACATATATATATGTACCTGTGCGTCTGTAGACGTATACAGATATACACATACGCATACATATACGTGCATAGTGCATACATATATGCACATACGAACACAGATATACACATACGTACACAGATATACCCATACGCATATATATACATACATATCAGGGGTTAATAATGACAATATGTCATTATTAACCACTGATACATGCACATAGATGCAAAAACATACATACACATACACACATACATATATGCACATACGTATACAGATATACATATATGAATACATATACATAGATTCAAAAACATACATAAACATACACACAATTATATGCACATATATATGTACACAAATGCTGCAGCCAATTTACTAAATATGCTACATATAACACATTATTAAACCAAACCAGTACTAATATCAGTAGGTCTAGGTACATACATACCCTCACGCCCACGCACACATACGTACACATTGCATCAGGGCTCGAATTAACCGACGGCACCGACGGCAATTGCCGTCGGTGCCCCTATCAATCGCCGTACTGCCCCTGAAAATCCAACCCGACCGACGGCAGTGACCTGCCTTGCCCTTTTCTGTAATTGCCGTCGGTGCCTCTGGCTATACTGGTTCGCGGCCGCACTGTTTGTCGCAGAGCGTGTACATTGTCTAGCAGAGCGTGAGGCCGGATACCAGTCTACGCTTCGGCAAAAAC